GTTTCCGAGGGGAGGGGCTGACTCCCGCCGCATCGGGCCAGCCCCCATCCTCTCCTCCTCCTCACCGGCTGGGCTGCTGGGGTGGAGCCTCCCCGGGACCATTTGTCAGAGTGGCACCGGGTTGGGCATAACGCAGCTCCTGGGGGCCCTTCCCAGCAGTCCAGCCCCTCAGGGACTGGAGAACTGCTAGGTGGAAGTAGTCTTCAGTTTAGGATCACTTCTCATGATTACCAGTTACAGAATTTAACATACTTACTTCCTCACATTTTAAAAATTGGGAGGGAATTCCCTGGCAGCCCAGTGGTTAGGACTCCACGCTTTCACTGCCAAGGACGCAGGTTCAACCCCTGGTCGGGGAACTAAGATCCCGCAGCTACATGGCATTGCCAAAAATAAATAAATAAATAAAATAAAAATTGGGAAAGAGTACTGAATTCTGGAGTAGAAACAAAGTCAACTTTTAAAATGATGTTTGTTTTTATTTTTGGTGAAATTTCTACTTTGGAAAAATATAGAAAAGGATGTAATCCCACTGGCCAGAGTTGACCACTCTTACCAATATGAAGCATATCCTTTTGATCTCTTTTCTATAAATATTTTTCACCTAGTGTCATAAGAATTTTTCCAAGTCAGAGCTTTTCTTATACATAATTTTTCATGGTTGTATTGTATTCTAACATGGTTGTATTAACTCTTGTTGGCCATTTAAGTTGGAGAAATGTAAACTTAACAAAAGCCAGCTTCCCTTGTTTTCTTGGACATATGTTTATAATTTGAATTACTATAAAGTAGTGCATAAATGACACTTTAAGGAGTGCCTCTGCCTTTCCTTCAGTGACCTTACACAAAAACTTTTCAGAACCATGCTCAGTGGTCAAACAGAAGAATATTGATAGGATTCCATGCTCCAGTTTGCCATGTATGAACAAAAGTAGGTGTACATTTATTGGCACATTTGAATATTATTTGTTCCTTGGTGAAAATTGAGAGAGGAAACTAAAGGCTAGGTGGGCAGAATTTCTTATCACATCTTCTTGACTTAGCTAAATGGGGCCGTGCAGAGCAGTAGAAAGTATCATACCTGGGAACCAGATGCCTCTGAGTACGAACACAGCTTTCCCACTTAAAAGCTCCCCAGCCTTGGGCTTCCCTGGTTAAGAATCCACCTGCCAGTGCAGGGGACACAGGTTCGAGCCCTGGTCAGGGAAGATCCCACATGCCACGGAGCAACTAAGCCAATGCGCCACAACTACTGAGCCTGTGCTCTAGAGCCCACGAGCCCCAACTGCTGAGCCCGCACGCCTAGAGCCCGAGCTCTACAAGAGAAGCCACCGCAGTGAGAAGCCCACACACTGCAACAAAGAGTAGCCCCTGCTCACCGCAACTAGAGAAAGCCCACATGCAGCAACGAAGACCCAACGCAGCCAAATCAATCAGTCAATCAATCAATATCCCCAGCCTTAGACAAGTACCATCATCTCTCCTAGCGTATGTTACGTAAAACACCTCGCACAGTTCCTGCAGAGTAGTGCAGTGGCTGAGGGGACAAATTCTGGAACCAGATTACCTGGCTTTCTTCAAATTCCAGCCTTGCCACTTCGTAGCTGTGTAAACTAGGGCAAGTTACTTAACCTCCCTGTGTTTCAGGTTCCTCATCTATAAAATAGGGAAAAACATAGTAACCAACTTCATAAAGTTGTTGTGAGATTTGAATCAATGCACACAAAGGATTTCTAACCTTTCTGGCAAATAGTTGGTACCAGTTAATGCTTCACTGCTCTTTGCCCCTGACCTGGCCTGTAGTACCAGCCTCCAAACTGGTTTCCTCTCCACCAGGCTGCCTCCTCCTGTTTGCTTCCCGGCTGGATTCCACAGACTCTGTCTTCAACAGTAGTGGGCTCTGGGTGTGCTCAGGAAAATGGGCTCCAGCAGTGGGCTGCCACTGTCCAGCAAGAGCGAATAGGGTCCTGTGGGGCCATGTGCCCTGCTTTAAGAAGCCGGACTCACGTATCTCAAGTAGGGTGAGGTTATTTAATGTACAAAAGGATTTTTCCCGTCAGGAAAGATTCCCCTACAGGTTTCTTTAAATAGTGACTCCTCTAGGCAGGCGAGTGTTTTACAGATCATTAACTACTTGACTGAAAGCCTGCAGGGCAGAGAAACTTAAAACTAAAGTGTTGGGAGCCCCTGCCAATTACAGATCAATCCAAAATGAAGATAAAGTATCTCTGAAACTAGAAGTCACTGGGAAAATGTGATTTGATTCAGAAAAAAATCTGATTTACACGCATCTCTTTTGGAACACACCACTTGTTTAAACGGTGTTCCACCTGCCTGCCCGTCTTGAATCTAGTGCGCTTGTCTCCCACATCTTCATCCCCAAACTGCAGGCTTGGGGTTCCCCTCTGTGAACAGTGACTGCACAGTAACCCCAGGAAAGGGTGTCTTTGGGAAAGTGTTCTTGTGGCCGAGCAGAGCTTAGGCAATTGATGCAGAGATACAACCCATAATGGATGAACTATACAGTAAGAATTTGCAGATAAAAATAATAGAAGTTAAAGTGTACTTTACATGATAAAAGAAAGATGAAAGAGGACGAGAGTCTGTTATATCTGAGATGGTTACAAGAGTCCTGCTTTGTGAAGTAGGCTCTGTTGAAAAGATTGATGCAATGGGGAGTGACCTTGGCTTGGAGCAGGAGCTGGTGATGTATGTATGCGCATCCCTCTGCTAAATGGACCCAGATTTGTAGCACTAATATACATGGGAGCCCAGAACCAAACTCACTACGGCAATAAATCAACAGCCACTTTGGGTGTCATTTCTGGTTTATATTCCACTATTGTTCTATCACTTAAATTCATGTCACTATCATCTTTTCATCTGGAACAGTTTTATATAATTTTCCAGTGGAGTTACCTGACAAATCCTATCAAATTAACAAGCTACATTAACAATATTGACTGACTACGGCTTCAGGAGTTGCAGGGCCGTAGAACAAAATTTTAAAACCATGTCTCTGATGATGATCTTTCCCCCTCCCTTTCTGAGAAAGGAATGTGGGGCAGGGTTTATTCCACATAAGAGATCTGCACATTTATTTTGCTCTGCTCGTTTTGACTTTTATAAATGTCAAAACAAGAAGCAGAAGGGAAAAAAAAAACACTACCAGCAACCACGGTGTAAGTACTTTTCTTCTCTCAGGGAACTATAGAAATGTCCAGATCTTTAACATTTAATGACCAAATTGGAGGGAAGAGTGTAACTGGGTAATCTATTTTAAGTGAAATGTAATAAAATTGGTCTCCTGATACATTCTCGCCCTCCTGAAATCATCTAGACCTGGACGTCCAGAGTCAATTGGGCTTATGACGTTATGCCTAATTGAAATACGGTGTTCCTGAAATATGTCTAATGACAAATTCCAGCGTTCGATTAATAAAAAATACCAATTGTTCGTCTTTTCCAAAGACCACACGGTAATGACCAGGGTTAAGCAACTGAACTGCAGTGTCTCCTTCAGACAGCAGGCAAGACTCTTCCGTAGTCTGTCCAGTCTCCTGCCTTTGTCTGACTGCTGTTTGGGATTTCTTTATTCATAAAGTAAAATAGAGATGAATGGAGTGTGTGGCAGAACTAATCACTAGGATATTGTTTGTTTTCTTTTTTAATTTTAAATTTGGTCTGACTGTGGTCATTGTGTTCTTTTGATTTTTGTTTTTTAATTTAGCTGTTTCTTTTATCTGCCTTATCTTATGGCCTACTAAGTTTTCTCACATTATATTTTAAAATTTCTAAGTGTGATCCATAGGGTGAAATATGTTAATTCTGGTTGTCTTTTCTGTTTCAGTATGAACTCTTGATTGTTTTAATTATTTCTTATATTTTTACTTCGTTTTGCTTTTTTTCACTTTGAGCTTGACCTTTAAACTGTGGCCTAAAAATTAATTAGTTTTAAGATTCCATCTGGGGTCCACTCTGGAAGGATATTGAAGGGTTTTGTTTCATTTCATGAACAGATTCCTCGATTTTCAATAAAAGGAAAAAGAGAGCATCTAGCCAAAACCTTTGTGTCAGGCTGGGCACCTTCTGCTTGGTGATATCAGGAGAGCAATTGCTGTGTGTTTCCGCAGTTATCCCAGGACACTCTCGATCCCTGGCATTACCTTGGTTCTCCTAACACCTTTGCTCCCAGTCACTGCACAGTGTGTTATGTCTTTCACAGCTCTGAAAATGAAACCTGAAGTCCCTGTAGTTAATGTTCTGGATTCCTGTTAGAAAGTCTTTGTTACATAAAGTGCACACCCAGTGCTCTCTCTCCATCGGTGGAGAAGCAGTGACCTCCACAGCCTGAAGCCAGGCTCCAAGACTTGAACTTGGAATGTTTAATGTGAAGGATCCTTTGATCTTCCTGTGACTTCCTTTAAATACCGTAGGGATAATTATTTAGTGTCAGAGAATTATTTAGTAAGAGAGAGAGATTTTTCCTATTTTTAGTGTGCAAAATTTTTCCAGATCAGAAACTCTTCATTGGTAGCCTAGGTATTTAGGCATAGGTGATGTTACAGCTTTATCTGTCCAACCCAGATCTTCTAATGCAAAACAAAACAAAACAGAGACCACTGATCAAAATTGTTTAAATGAACCTTATCTCATAGTAACTATATTTCATTAACAAAATGTAGATAAACTCTATATTGTATCTGTGTTATATCTAAGGAGGTAAGCTTCTTAATACCTTTTTATATGGTTTTTGATTGTTCCCCCTCCCCGGCTCCAACCCCAGCTCACCCACCTGGGAAACCAGACTGCAACTTCTCTGTGCCATTTGGAATCTCCTTATGTCTGTCTTAGGAAGCCTATGGCATTCCCCAAAGCCCTAGAAAGAGCTCATGTTCATGCAATTTAGGATTTATAAGACAGGTCAAATGATTACACTGAAATCACTTACACCTTGTACTTCTTGTGGCTTCTTTTTTGTCCTCCCCTTGGCCTTACAGGTATCTCTGGAGACAAAGTAGAGATAGACCCAGTTACGAATCAGAAAGCCAGCACTAAGTTTTGGATTAAGCAGAAACCCATCTCAGTCGATTCTGACCTGCTCTGTGCCTGTGACCTTGCTGAAGAAAAAAGCCCCAGTGAGTAGTCCCTTTTATTTATGTCTCCTTCCGCTCTTCCTCCCTTCCCTTCTGCGTGCTGGGTACCAGGAGAATATATTGCCACTGTGTCCTTTTTTCCTTGGGTCTGTTTAATTCATTACCAGAAATTTCTTTTAATTAAATGGGATTGTATTACGGTGCCCAGAGCCTGACATGGGCCCCTGTTCTGTTCAGTCTTGACGGCAGTAGAGAACCTCACAGTGGTTCCTGACCTCAGTAGCCCCCCGCTGAGGGCTGGGGGCACAGGGGCAGATTCCTGACGGGAATCTGCACTCACCAGAGCCCTCATTTCACTTTGTGCTCCTTTCCCCTTCCCGTTTGGGTACTGGACCTGTCAGACCTGGACCTGCCTTCCTTCCTTGCCAGATCGAGGGAAGCTGGAGGATTTCCTGTGGTGGCTGAAGACTAGATTAGATATCCATCATGCCAGAGGTGTCATCACCCTCCAGATTATTGGCAGCTGCATGACCTACCAGCTAGTAATTAAACTCCTGCCTGGTCCTGCAGAAGAGATCACTGCTGGGTTGGCATTCCTCTGTTTAAATTATCAAAGTAGATATAATCTGGGTGTATATTTTAGCGTATTATATTTTTGCAGTTAAGTAATTGAGTGTAGGCTTTAGATTAATCATTTTTAGGGCTTCAGTCCCATCAAGAGGCAGAAAGGACACAGATTGCAGTGATATTCCTCCAGGGAAGAAAGGATTTGTTAGTTGCCTGGAGAAGGCTAGAAGACAGTGGTTCTCAAATCCAGTGCGTTACCAGCACTGCCTGCAGAGCCTGTTTAGAACGCAGCCACCCAGGACCCACACCAGTAGGTTCTGATTTAGTAACTTGCAGTGTGACCTAATAAGCACCCAATTTGTGTTAATCCCCTTTATTCTAGTGTCTGCTAAATTGGGGAACAAATATAAGGAATGACATACTTAAAAGGAACAGTAAGAAATCTAAAGGCCAGCAAGTGTCTATAATATGGCTCACATTTTTGAGATGAAACTGATTAAACAGGGGCTTAAAGAACAAAAACTCGGCCTGCGGACTGGGCGCATATGCCACTTGGCCTCATTTATGGTTGGGTATTTAATTGTTTTGTCAAATCCAGCAGTGCTGGGCTACATGGTCTCCTCTTTTCAACTCATTAGCCTACAGCTTAGCAAGAAGGGAGAACATAGTGGTGCAGGGGAAAGGAGTAAAGCCATGCCCACCTCACTTCCCACCATTCCTGTCATCCCAGTGAGGCCTCGATGGCTTGCAGAGGCAAGATGGTTGCCAGAAGGAGTGGTGAGAAAATCGCCTGCTACTCTTGGGCCCTTGCCCCAAGGCGGCCAGATTCCGTCTGCCTTTAGATAAACATCTTCTTCCTAATCCTCTCACTCCAGCCAGTCAACCAGTAAAAATTTCATTGTTCCAGCATCTTTCTTCCCAAGAACTCAGAATGCTTTGAAAAGTAACATTTTATAAATTCTCCATGTCTCTGAGAAATGAAAGGCAATCACTTACACATTGCATAGGGGGATAAACTGGAGTGGAGAGGTTAGAGAAAGAGCTAGAAATAGGATTCAGATTTCCCTTACATTCACACCAAGACACTCACTGTGTCCAGGGAGGGCTGTGATTCAGGCACCAAACGGTAAAGGATGTAACACACCCAACCTAGGAGGGAATGAAACAGATGCACAGCTACCACCTTTCTGTTGCCTCTTAAGGTCATTCAGTCAAAAAGTAATGTAATTATCACACATCTGTGAGAGCGAGGCCAAGTTCCAAGCATTAGGGATCCAGAGCAGATGTGGGCCCCACCATTTCAATACGACTGTATTGACAGTCGAACAGGAGAGTCTTTTGTCGTAGTCTTAGACCCACTGAACGGTTCTGTGTAAAAACCGCACATGTAGGTTTTATAGAGGTTTCCCCCCTCTCACTCTGGCCCCAGAGATCTAGAACTATGACACTTTCCTGAACAGAGAGGCACACTGCCTGCCCCAGTGAGATACTTCTGAGTCCCCGTCCCCAGCACAGCACTTTCAGACCTTGTCCCTCAAAGCTCTGGGTTCTCAGGGGCCAGGGTGTGTGTGTGTGTGCGTAGGGCAGAGTTGGGCATGAGGCCTCCCCTTCAAACAAAGGATTCTGCATTTAATCCCTACCAATTTGGGGATCCTGCACTTAAAAAGTCAATTGATAAAAAGGATTTTGCTGTTTTCAAAAAATGTTTGAAAGTTGCAGGCGCACAGAATAAAATTCAGACTCCTCAGCACAGCCTTTACAGATCTTGACTCCTCCAAGCTCATAGCCCATAATTTCTCATCCTGAACTTGAGCTGTGGTCACTGTGACCACAGTGGTCACTGTGAACTACTGGCACACGAACACACCTTGAATTTTGTGCTTCCGCTTTTCGCATTGCCAGGAATACACCTCCACCCTGACCCTCTCTTTAATTCATGGACACCTCAGTTTCCTCACACCCGGCCCACTCATTTTTCAAGATCCAGCTCCAGTGTCAGACTCTCTCTGTAATTTTGCCCCCAGGTGTTTGCACACACCTCTGGTAAAGCAGCTCACACACTGAGCTGTGTTTATTTGAGGTCTGACCCTGTCTCCCACCCCCATCTCCATGCTGAACTCATTGACCAGAGACTGGTTTCTGTATTTTCGTTCCCTAGCACAGTGCCTGCAGGGTTGTCCTCAGTGAATGTCTTGAAATAGAACTTAATGAGGCCAGAATTGAGAAACCGAAAGTTATTCAACATAATTTATGTTGTAAAGTGCCCAAAACAAAGATGTATTAAATGAATCAGCTTGATGCTATTATTTTTTTTATGATTTCCAGTATCTTCATCAAATTAATTCATTGACTTAATCTAAAAAGTTCATCTTCAAGAACATCGTCAGACCACAGAATTAATCTATGCGGCTTCTTCTTCTCCTTCTTTTTTTAAAGGATTAATGGTAACCCTTTTTATCTTTTGTGTCTGTTGAACCTTAGAAAAAACTTATTTTAACAGCACTAAAGAAATGAAAGTCACTATATTTCATAAGTTTAGCCTGTGATCTTTATCAGCATAGTGATGTATGTTTGTAGTTGAGTTTACGTCAAAAATTCTTGGGGCCTTCTTAAACGAATTATGGCAAAGAGAGAGAGTCTAGAAGTAGATAAGGTTTTTGATTTCTGCAGTATATTTCCTTTTTCATGTTTTTATCTCTCATAACACAAGTGTCTTGCCGAAGACTAGAACGTGTGACCAACTGGAATAATTTAGTTGTGAAAACAGAGCAGACATGTTATTAAACAGCCTTCTTTACAAAAAGGCATTAACTGTTGGGAGGATAATGAAGTTGTCCCCAGTCTTACTTGAGACATGTTTGTCAGAATTTTGAACAGAAAAGAAACGGTTTTTAAAACCTCAAATATGGCCAGTTTGCAGTGTTTATTGAAAAAGCCACTGTCAAACCATTAATTTGGTCGTCATAAAGAACACAACTCAAGTTTAATTGATGCTGTATCCAAAAAGTATGTGAATAGCTGACTTGGCAAAGGGACTGAGCATTAGAGCGCCTGCAGTGAAACACGTAATTACATATATTGTGGAATCAGAAAGACCCAGACTCTGAAGCCATACTCCATAAATAGCAATTCTATGGCTCTCTTTCCTTCCCCTAACTTCTACCTCACAGGCCGTGTTCTCATAGGGAAGATTTATTGCTCTGTCCCTGTGAGTGTTTAAGACCTGGAACTTAATGACTAAATAGATACATGCCTTTAAAAAAACTGTACATATAAATATGGACTCTTACAAAAGTTAGTTGAGAAAATCAGTGTGTCAACGGCCCTGAGAAATTAAGAACACATTCTGCCTTAATAGATTAAAAAAAAAAAAAAAAAAAAGCTGTACGCTGCCATTATTATTCAAATCAGTGATTTCTAAGTCTGATTTTGCCACTCCTTAGGATATCTTTTGCTGTTTGAAGGATGTCACAAACCTCTAAAAGATGAATTAATTCTAATTTCATTTTAACTGAACAAAGACGTATACATCATATAGGAGAATGTTTCCATCAGAAACGACCATGGTTAAATTGTCTCAGAAATAATTCTCCATCCTTATACAGGTCTAGATGTAGGCTTTAAATGCAGTGGACACTCTTTTTAAGTACTAGCCTCAAATTCCAACACTGAAACAAAAGAAAGGGATCTTTCTATGAAATTAGCACCCGTCGGGGACTCCTGGGCTGTATTTAAATAAAGTACCAGACTTAAGCGTGCCAGGTGTGGTTTTATCGTAAGAAGGTCGTGCAGGTTTAGAGTCTTTAAAGGAAGCAGCCTATCATTAAGAAATCATATAATAAAGTAGCTGTCGTCTTTATAGCTGAAAAGAGCTCTGTATCTCAATTAAGTATAGATGATCTAAAATCTTAAGGAAGTAACGTAATAGAGGTAACCTGATTACATTCTCTTGCAATAGTATAATTTAAAGGAAATCGGATTCTGTTGATGCTGGTTGTGTTGGTGGGGGGTTGTTTGTTTGGTTTTTTTGGTCCAAAACACTGTTTGGATTCAGGGCAGGAGCTCTTTGAGATTGTGAGTTAACCACAACTGCAGGAGACTCTTAGGCCCTCGTGAATAGAACCTGCTTGATATTTGAGATGAGATTCAGTTAAGGTTATGAGTTAAATTAGCTGGGTTTATTGGTGACCTCCCACTTAAATGAATCTTTCTTTTCATAAGTACTTGACAAGATCTGTAAAGTAGTGTATTTAATCTACTAATTAAATTAAAGCTACTGAATAATGATTTGTCCACATTGATTTAGCTTAAATAGAAAAGACCAGCATTGTTGTGATCTTCAGCAACCTTAATGGCCGAGCCAGTTAGACACAAAGGCCTCTTGTGTTTTATAGGTCAGAAGGACATAGGTAAGCCCAGGCTGTAATTGAATTGCCTGCACTGCACCCTGCAGTTGCAGATTTCCTTTGCCTTCC